CGAATAATAGGTTTCCACGAAATTAAATTACTTGACTGTACTACATACCAAAGTCAAACACTATCAATATCTGTATTATGACTGACCTAGACTACATATTATTACAATCAAACACTATCAATATCTGTAGAATTTTTACCTCTACTACATACTACAGTTAAACACTAGCTATATCTGTATTATTACTGACCTCGACTACGTACTACATTCAAACACTATCAATATCTGTATCATTAATATTACTGGCCTCTACTACATACTACAGTCAAACACTACCAATATCTGTATCATCGTGACATATACTACATACTAAAGTCAAACAGTATCAATATCTGTATTATTACTGACCTACACTAGATATTATTACAATCTAACAGTATCAATATCTGTATCATGACTAACCTTTACTAAATACTACAGTTAAACACTACCTATGCCTGTACCATTACTTGCCTGACTACATATTATTACAATCAAACACTATCAATATTACTGACCTCGACTATATACTACAGTCAAACACTATAATATTAAAATTTGTATCTTTTCTGACATCTGAAAACAAGCAATTCAAGTATCGGTAGATTAAAAGAGTGTGTCAGTGGAGTCTAAGATTAAAGCTAGTTTTTCAGGGAATGTAACATTTGTCAGGTTTGTTAAAATTAAATTTTGAAAAACAAGAGCAATACCTCATATTTGATATTTCCCATCCTTAGGCGATATTAAACATTTGGCAGAACCACACCCATCATCAGTTCATTATATTCAATCCTTAGCCATTCATTTCTTTCAAACGTTTTTGGATTTGTTAAAATTAATAATTCCGTCCAAATCTGCCACAAACTGTAAGAGTGTGTTCAAGTTTGAAATAGAGCTCTTTTCAAAAAACAAAGAAAACTAGAGCCACACGTGGCACAGAGTGGGACTTTGCAAATGTAGCAAAATGCAAAAGACCCCGAAAAAATCAACCTTCCACGATAATTAGATCAAGCGCAAGAACAGTCTAAAGTTGAGAAATTTTCCTTTTTTGGAAGATTTTAATACCGGAAGTGGACGTCAGACCTCACAAATGAAAGTATCAGCAGATAGCCAAGGTCAATGACCTTTGATCTTGTAAAGGAGAAGGCCTGAAAAGGTCAAGATCAAGAGATATACGCCATCAAAAT